AGCTCCATCCATCCCCACGCCTGCTTTCCTTCCAAGGATGCTCAAAAAAGAAGGGAAACGGCTTTATTTCGGGTCGTCGCTTGCCGGTGGAGCCTGTCTGTGGTGTCAGCTTCATCCCTGCCCGGAGGACGTTGGAGGAGCATTTAAGGAACCCTTGTCCATCACACCATTCTCCCCAAAGGTTACAAGGGCGGCTGAGATTTAAACAAAAGTGCCCGAAAGAGCTGCCTGAGCGCGGGTTTTTGTGGCCGAAAGGCAGCAGCTCCAGTGGTGAAAGGGGGCTGCTTGGCTTGCCTTGGCAAAGGAGCCGGGGCTTTCAAAGTCACCCGAGTTTTCTGCTTCCAGCTGGAGAAGGAGAAGCAAACTCTGCCAGCGTGAAAATTATTGAAGCTAAAATAACCAAACTCCAAAGCTGTTGGGTACAGAGGCTTGTGCAAGGCAGGTAATGGTCTGCAGTGAAGGACGGAGGGATGGCGAGGGTTTCAGCTGGATCTGTGTCGTCCCCCCCCGCATCCAAGTTCACCTTTGTGCTGGTTGTTACTCTGGAGACTGTATGGCCACATATAGATGCAGATGTCAGCCAAGGTGAAAAATCCACCCGAACCCTCCTGAGATGCTGGAGAGACCCGAGCGAGCGTAGATGAGACTCTCAGCGCCAAATCAGACTGCCCGGAGCAAGTCGCTCTTAGCACCAACATACCAACACCAAAAGAGACCTGCAAAATCCTCCTGTGGCACTGAAACGCATGGAAGGGCAGGAAAGTCCTCGCCCAGCGGCAGGCCACCTCCCTCTCCCAGCTCCTCCAGTCCAGGCAGCTCAGCCCGGCGGGTTACGATGCTCCCCGACTGGCGGCGTAGCCAAACTGGCAGCTCCAAACCACCGTGATGGCGGGAGGCAGAGCCAAAACGCCTGGAAAATGGGGGTCCCCCAACCCCACAGGACCGCAGCAAGACCTGCAAAAGCCCTTGAGCTTTGATGGCAATTAGGATGTGGCCTTCCCACAGCTCCCACAGCAGGGAAATGCTAGAAAACCTCAACCCCAGCCAACGAGTGGCCAGAATTTGTTAAACTTAAGCTATGTGACTTAGAAATGAGTATTCCCCCGGCCGCAGGCCCTCAGGGCAGGGCACGCTGCAACGAAGCAGCTCCCGCAGATGGTTCCAGCTTTGTTTCCCAACTCAAAAAAAAAAAAAAAGCTCTAAGCCATGAATCACGGCACTTCCCACAGCCGCTGCCCTACCAGCCTTCCCATCACCGGGGCAGCCCTGAAAGGCTGAAAAACCTTTTCCCCGAGCCCTTCCAGCTCCACTGTCCCACTCTATCCCTCAGCGAGACCGAGAGGAGTTAACCCTGGTGCCTCACGCTGCAGCAGCAAATTAAAAAGCCAAAAAAAAAAAAAAAAAAAAAAAGAAGAAAAGACAACTTGTTTTTGAACACCCTCAAGCTAAAGGTTTAGGAAGGCAGCCTGAGCCAAGCCCCGAGCAGGGCGCTGCTGGGACACGTCCCGTGCTTGCTGTACACTTACATAAGGCTACGCACCCGCCTGCAGCTCTCCAAACACCCCGGGCATGGAGAGAAGCTGCTCCCTCCCTTGCTCCCTTCCACCCTCTTCCCACCCATGGGACTCGACCTGCTCCTGTGCCCTCGCTGGCTCCCAAAAGTGGCCGAGGCCGGAGAGTTGGGCCCTACCTTCTCCTCCCGGAGAAAGAGAGCGGGGTGGGAATCACCACCCAGTACCCGCAGGGGAGGGAGAAGTTGGGGGTCTTGTTTTTAATTGGAAAACTGAGTAAAAGGTAGTTTTTACCACGAATGTTGCCTCCCGTCCAGCCCTCGCCCACCCAGAGGAGCTAGGATGGCTGATCCTGGTGGGAAGAAACAGGAGGGGGTTTAGGATGAAGCTTTTTGCAACAGGTAGGGACCTATTTGGCGTCACAGCAGCAGACTACAACAGGCTACGAGGATGTTTCGGAGACCAGTGCATTTCTCCCTGTTTATAGATGCTCAGATCGCCACGACCCCCCCTCTCATGTGGCAAAAGCCCGCAAAAATTCTTGCAAGCTGCCTGATACTCAAGGGACAAACCCGACGCACAGCAGCAGCATGGAGCTGACAAACAAACCCCCAAAATACCCCCCTTTACGTTGACAGACTGCTCCAACCTTTTCCTTTCCCGTTCCCACCTGTGTTTGCAAATGAGGCAAACCTTTCATTGCCTTGTCTTGATCAAGGGCAGGATCTCGACCGAAGATGCTGAGAGTGGGTTTGGGAGGCTGGTACCAGACGTTGGTCCGGGATAGGATGAGGGGTGGATTCCTTTGCCCAAACTCGGGTGGCCCATGAATGCACCTTGTCACTCAAAAGTCTCCTAGAGGGTCGATAACGAGAGCTGTGGGCAAAGATCAAAATTTAGGGGGCATGAACGTGGGTACCACCATCCCTCCTGGGCAGAGCACTGGCTCCTGGCTGACACGGAGCTGGTCTGGTGCCGCCGCAGCGTTAAGCACCCATTGCCCCCAACGGGGGCTCCTCCCGAGGCAAAGACCTTTGCAGGCAGGTGGAGCATTTAAGGCAAATGGAAATCTGTAGAAATTTGGGATTTGAACCACAAATTGCCTTACGAGCCAGAGAGGTTTTACGGCCACGAAGCCTCATGCAAAGCTGGGGGCAGTCACCAGCGGGCTCTGCTGCGCAGCCGCTCGCTCGGCCCAGATGTGGGTTTGAGGCAGCTCTGCTCTTCCTCTTGTTAGTCTGAAAAAGCTAATTCTTGAATTCAAATCATTCACAAGCTATCATTCAGGGAGCATTAAGGTCAAAAATATGATTTCAAGATCTCCATCGAGCTCCGATGGAGAATAAAAGCCCCAAAACTCCCCAAAGGAGCTACGATGCAACATATTTCTTTCCTTCATCTGTCAGACGGCTTTGGAGACGCCCCACTGCCAACGCTCCCACCTGAAAAGCATCACTTCGATGCCCTGCCCTAGGCTAAGCCTGGCAGATCACGCCGGAGCAAGGGCACCACAGTTCGGGGCCCCGCAGCGCACGGGTGGACGCGTGCCCTGCCTCCTGACGCAGCTCCTGCTGCCTCCTGCGGCTTCCTAAACCAAGCGATGGGTCAGCAGCGCCATAGCAGACGATGCAATACGGGCAACGGAGGGTCACAACAGTCACAGAAAAGCGTATTGAAGAAAAGAGACAACTGGACATCTCATTTTATAGTCATAAACAGACGCGTCACAACACACCAGTCAACTTTCCAGCTCGTACGGGGACAGAACGGCCACAAGACCACAAGACCTTATAACGCATTAGCCAACATGGATTAAAAACAGGGCCAGAGGGGCATGCAGGATCCTCAGCCTATATACAAAGGTCCCACCACTGCCCACGGGACGGGTCCTCCCCTGAAACCAAGCTTCCCCAGCAAAGATTCGTCTTGGTCATAAAAACCCCCACGCTCGCCGAGGGACAATTCCCACGCACGCGCCCCTCCTGAGGCTTCTCATTTTTTCTCATGGCAGGTGGATAAAATGAAAATCCAATGAAGGATGGTTTTGCAGCCAGGATAAATGCAAGCTTTGTTTCTTTCTCTCTCTCTCTCTCTCTCCTGGGTTATTATTCCCAGGAAAAGGTACCCTGGTGCCAGCCGGCACCTCGTTCGCATGGGGACCCACCGGGGCTTCCCTTGCTCTGTGCCACGCTCATTAGCGACGCCTGGAGATGACGAGTTCCCACGCAAGGCTGAGTGCTGCCTTCGCTCTCTGGGGTGAGTACCCACGGGCTGTGCTGTTTTCTGGAGCTCTCTCCCTCTCCCGCCGCCGCCGGGGACGGCACTGACCCTGCACCGGCTCTGCACGGCAACGCACGGGCTACGAGTTAAACGCTGCTGGGGCTTTGAAACCCTTTGGAAATACCGGGCTTCCCCTGCCAATACTGACTCGTGGTTATTGCTGCATAATATACAACTGGCCCCCCCCCCAAAAAAAGCGCGGTGGCACCCAGTGCCCCGAGCCACCTGCATCCCAGGGTGCAGGGAAGCTGCTTCCCGGCACGGAGCGGACTTGTGACACGTGGGGCTTTGTCCCGACCCTGTGCGCCTCAACACCTCCGAAGTGCCCGTCCCGGTGGCTTGGCCGCGGTTTTCACCGGGCAGAGCCGGCCGCCCTGGGCTGCGCTGGGAGCTGCCCCTCTCTTTCGCCCCTCAGAAGCCAAATCATTCGTCGCTGGGCGAGAAAAACGGAGGAGGAAAGTGGACGAGGGCCCTGCTGGTCTTGTCCGTGCATTTTTAAGGCATATTTTGCAGGAAGGGGGTGCTCCCGCGTGGCTCCATCCGATGAGGGCGGCAGGACCGGAGCTGGCCGAGCTCCCCACTGTCCCAGCTGCAGCTCCCTGGGTGTGTGGGAGAGCAGCGGAAAAGGAGGAGAGGAGAAGATTAAAGCGGGACTCGCCGACCATTTATTTGGTTTGTGCATTGGACTGAAGCAGCATTTCCTCCTTCAGATCTGCTGGCTCCAAAACAGCCTCTGGTGCCGGACGGGGAGGGGGCTGTCTCGGACGTGACACCCAAGTGACACCAGAGGAGAAGGATGGACAGCTGCACGGGTCAACAAGCTCCATCTGTGGCCTGCTTTCAAAAGGCATTTATTAGCTGTAAACCTGTCGTGACGTATAGAAAACCGGGGAGAGAAGCGGGAGATCGATCAAGTTGGAATCCTGGTGAGAGTTCTCCTTAGAAAAATGGTTAGAGGACGAAAAAAACCCGAACAGGTGGCTTTGAAATCAAAACTGTCCCGAAAAAGAGTGTTTCTGCTAGTTAAAAGCCTTTAACTAGAAGAACTTTTTGTGTTTTGCTTTGTTGTTTTTTTTTTCTTCCTTTACAAACATAGTGCATCTGCGATCATTGAGAATTACAGTCCGTCTAGAAAAGGGCCTGTGCTTGGGCTATGGAGAGGCTGCTGGTGGCGACAGTGAGTGCCGGTGAGCGGCGGCGGCGGCGGCGCTACATGTGCGCTTCGGAGGCAGGACAGCCCGGCAGCAGCTCCCCGTTCACCACCGCCTCCGAGACCAGCATCTTGTCTTTGCCAGAATCCAGGCGCTGCTTCTTCAGCATCTTCTGATGGACCAGGGGGACGACGGAGAGCACCAAACCGCCGATGATGGGGGGGACTCCGGCAAAATAGAAGGCCGCGTCGTAATTCCCAAAATAATCATTGAGGTATCCTGAAAGAGAACAACAACGGCGGTTACGGCCACGGCAGTCAAATGACTGACTCGTCTCGAGTGAGAGCTGTAGCTTGCTTCAACCACCAGATTTGGGGAGATTTGGGGGTTTAAAACAATCTTTTTTTTTTTTTTTTTTTTTTCCATTGCATTCCTTGAAGTTTTTATGCCCTGGATTAAAGGATGTGCGCAGCCAACTCTGTGTAGCGAGGACGTCAAGAAGGAAAGCCTCAGCCATCCTTCCTAGTGAACCAGAACAGGACACAACCAGACACATTCCAAACACAAACATTTCAGGTGGCTCTTCCTAGCGCCTTGCTGGCCAGGAGGTAATGGGAAAAGCGGGCAAGGGCTGTTCCTCTGGAAGCCCTGCTTTGCTATTTATTCTATTTTTTTATCTACATGGGGATGTCAGCTGAAAAATACACGCTGCCAGGTACAAACGATAACCAAACCCTTAAAACCCAATGAGGTTCTTGTTAGTTTGGCAAGTTCTGACACAGCCAGGCATCCTTGGAGAATAACACGTTGCCATTTATCAGCACCGGGAAAATCCCTTTGGGTTTCCTCCTGCGAAGACACTTGCCTGGGGATTACATCTGTGAAATGAGCCCCTCCACCCAGCCCTGTGCCAGGGCAGGGGGTCCTGCAGCAGCACCCTAACGCCGAGACGTCTGCAACCCCCACGAGTTCCTCCACTGAATTTTGCTGCCAGAAGCAGAAAGATCAGAGGCGCTTACGGAGCTTTAGCTTAGCGATTGCTGATGCGGACGTTCTGCTGTTCGAGGGCCAGCTTTGGCCACGTGCTCGCTGTTAAGGACGTTGTGATTATTACTGGGCTCAAACACACAGCCAAGCCTTGGGAAGACAGAGGCTCGGGTGTCTCCGTCTCTAACTTTGACTCAATAATCCAGGGGCTGAACTTACTGATTAGCAATCAGGCCCCAGAGATCTAAAAGAACTTCTAGAAAACTAGTAGCTGCCAATTTTCAGCTCAGCTTCAAATAAAAATCACTTAATGTGACCTTGAGTCACTCTCGCTGTTCCCCTGCTGGTCACCTTTCATCAGCCTGGAGAAAGGTCCTGAGATGCCACAGGACATAGCATGGAGTGATGCTACACCCACACTGCAACCCCCACACGGCACGGTAAGCCAGAAAATTCAAAACCGTATGGGTGGTCTTACGCCAAGGTATCACCACGGGTGAAAGCCACTACAAGCGTCTGCTCCCTCCCAACAGCTGGGTTCCGTTCCGGCACCGTGGCGCTACCAACCTGCTATCGGCGTACCCGCGGTCATGGGCACAGCCATCAGCCCCATGAGGTACCCTATGGCCTGGGATGCCTGCATGGGCCCCACCAGCTCGAAGGCAATGGGGGCCATGATGGTGGTGAAGAAGCCATCGCAAAGGCCGAGGAAGAGGCAGATGACAATGACGCCCTCGAACCCTTGGCACTGGGGGATCATCATGCACAGGATGCCCAACAGCATGAAGGACGCAACCTGGGGAGACAAAAGTGGGCATGTCACTGGGGTGCAGGACGAGCGGGGACGGGCAGCAGGAAGCGTCATGAAGACGACACTGAACCGGTCAACGACATCACCCCCTCCTCTGGACTCAGCAACGACATCCACCCTCTGCTCTCGTCTCGGAGAGGCCCTTAAGAATAACCTTTTAAGAAGCTTTAGGAAGGATTAGCTGCTGGATTAGCTGCTAGATTTCAGCAGTTTGTTCTTCAAGAACCACAAGAAGGTGAGAGGGTGTCCAGCACTTTGGGAAGAGTTGGGACCACAGAATTTGATTGCTGAAAGGACACCAAGACCTCAGGCCAAGCGTGTAACTTCTCTGTACACCTTTCTATAATAAATTTTCTTCCCTAACAGCAGACAAGGGTGTTAGGAAATCGTCAGGAAAGGATGTGCAACCTGTGGTTGACGGCTATTAAGCAGTGTTGATACTGCTGTAGAGATGGTGTCCCCTGACCCGCCGTGGTTAGCTGGCAGTTACGTGGAAGCTTGGACACAACGTACCTGCAGGTAAATCTTCTTCAGCCCGGGAATGCAGTCACCAATGCGGCCTGAAACCAAGCGCCCCAGCCCTGACATGGCTCCGAGGCAAACCAGGAGGATCCAGTCCTTTTTGGTTTCTTGAAATCTCTTCTCCACGTACTTTACCTAGGATGGAGGGACACGAATCACCAGTAAGTTAATCCCTCTCGTATCCCAAAAAGGGACAAGACTTCCCACAGGGGGCTTGCGGATTTGGGGGTGGTTGTGTGACCCTCATGTCCGCACCACGCTGACTGGCACACCCCACCTCTGCCCACCCCAAACCCAGGAGCCTCCTCCTCTCCTGCTTGTCCTCAGGAGCCGCAGGAAGCGACCGCTCTGCCCACCCTGGCCCAGAGGACACGTGGGAGCATTAAAAAGCTGTCTCCTCCCATCACTATTCCTGTTTACAGGACGTGCCTGGAGCAGCTTCTTAGCTTCAAGGCTTTTGCTGGCTGTGTCCCTACTGCCCGTCTCCACCTTCCCACCTCCTCCTCACTCGCATGGAGGAGCCCTTTCACTCCAGGCAAAGGGACCTCCCTCTTACCAGGTTCATGTAAGGTACGAGATATCCCAGGACAGCAGTAGCGATCCCAAAGGCCCAAATCCGATAGGTCTTTCTCCGGAAAACCCTCAAGTTGAAATATTTGCGCGTCTGGGACCAGCACTGCTGCCGCATGCTCCGGCTGCCCAGCTTGTCCTGCCCATCGTGCTGAGAGTCACAAGAAGGTGGCAGGATGGGCCGATAGGTCAGGGACAAGAATATCTGGATGAGCATTAAGGCACTGAGTACTTGGAAAGTATGCGCCAGCCCAATGGCCTTCCCGACCATCTTCAGGAAGAAGGGGAGCGGCACGGAGATGAGGCAGCTGCCGCCGGCCACGATGCCGTTGGCCAAGCCAAGGCGGCGCTTGAAGTAGTGCCCGAGGATGACCAGTGAGGGCTGGAAGGCGAAGGAGCAGCCGCAGCCGAAGAGGATCCCATACGTGAAATAACGGACTTCCAGAGACCTAGTGGGGGAGAAAAAACCCCAAATGGAGGTGGTTACGTTACGCAGAGGTAAGGAAGCCTTCTCCCCCAAGGTCCTGCAAAACCTGGAGTCAAGACCCACATACCACAGGTGCTACACAGACATTCTGACCTCAAGGAGCTTATTCCCTAGCCAAAGCAAGGATTATCCTCATTTCACAGCTGGCACGTTAAGTCTTCAGGAAGATGAAGTCTAGCTGGGGAGTGCTTTCTGCAAAGAGGAGATGGCAGCAGCCAACCCGCCCGCCTTGGGAAGCTGACCTAACTTGAATGGTTTTTCAATTACAGCAAGCAAGATTTTCTGAGGTAGGCAGGGTGGGTTATTTTTAGCTAGAAATTCTTTTTTTTTTTCCACTTAAAGGACTAATAGAAAACATTCTGCACCCAGCGTCTGAAAGCAGAAGGCACCGGGCCTGCTGGTTACTAGCCACTTAGGAAGGGAACATTGCCCTTTTGCCCAGCCTCCAGGCTGGTTAATGAAGTTCTTGTTCTTTAAGCTCCTCTGGGAGCTTCAATTAGTTAATAGATCTCATTTGTACCTTACATTGGTGGCCGCTCTCAAGGAGGGAGTGAAGTGGCTGCTCTACAGGTGGAAAGTCCTGAGAGCCCTTGGAAGGAGCCATTTCCCAACGGCCAGCCCCGTTTTCCCAACAGAAGCAGCTGAGAAAGGAGTCTAAAATTAGGCGCTGCAAATAACCTGCTGTGTTTCTCTCCAGAGGGAGGATTTTTTTTTTCCTCCACCCCCCGTGCAATACATTCAGCTGCAAAAATCTGCCATGAAATACCGCATGGGAAGAGAGCGTGATGGAAACATTTGGGCAGCTCGCTGGGCAAGCGATGCCGCACGAACGGTGTCTTTCCTCCCAACACTCCCAACGACTCACGCGAAATACTGAGTGCTGCTCGTGCAGCAACGAGAAGACAGCAGCCCAGACCTAATGAAGCAGCTTGAAGTTGAGAAAAACGTTTACAAGCACATCATTTCTTCCATTACCCGCTCGTCTCTTTAGCTAGCCAAGCAGAAAGCAGAACGTGCTTGCTGTACCCAACGGCTCAAAGACAAATGGCTGTCATGAGAGGCAATTTCCAGCTACTCCAGAACGAAGCCACATCAGAAACCCCCTCCGCAGGAGCCAGGCAAGCAGCTGGGCTACGCAGGCTGTCTCCGACCTCCCACGCACCAGCCCTGGCCATCTCCGCTGGGTCACACCAGCTTTGGTACTGCAGCTAAGCCGACGTGTTGGATAAGTGGAGACAAATGCTGCAGTTCCCATCTGCTCCCCGCTGACGTTAAGACACCCCTGCGTGAGCGGGGGCTCCTTTCAGCCATGCCTCTTAGCCAGGATTTCCCGCTCTGCTTGCTGGGAATCAGCCAGCTGCTCTTTGGTGGGAAGGGTGGCATCATCCCCCTCGGACAATGAGGTCTCCCGTGGATAACATCTCCTGAGACAAGGAGGTCTCTCTCCAACGGCTTCCTCACAGCTGGCAACGGGAACGGCCCTGGTTCAGCCCTGCTGGTAGAGGTTTGGGGGATTTCTCTCTGCAGGAGAAACCGGGCAGAAATTGCAGAGGGGAAGGAGAGGCAGATGGAAAGGGACTCAAACCCCACCACAGAATGCTCAACGGTGCAAAAGAGGAGGGCTGGGAGGGCACATGAA